TGGATGGTCTTCTCAGGGGGAGGCCGACCAGGTATTACTCGTTAATGGTGTTTGCTCTGTGGCCCAGGATCAAATCTTTTATCATTCATATAATCACCCTTTTAACCATGTTAATTATCCACAAGTGTGTTGACTTACAACCTCTGTTATTAAATCTATACTGAATAAATGTGAGGAAGAACAGCTAGTGAGTGATTGGGTAGCTGCAATTGCCTTCTGAGAGCAGCAGATGACCTCCCTAGCCTACTCGTTCATTGTACTCTGTGTTTGAATGCTTTATTCTTCCACCATGGAGTCTGGGTTTGCAGGACAGATCCTCCACAGTTGGTGATCAATGTCTTCAGTGGTGACCTCAATGTGATCATCATCAAGCTGGCACCCGAAGTTGGGGAAAAATGAAGAGATCATCAGACCCCTGAAGGAGGAGCAACAGACACCTGAAAACAAAAGGTAAAGGATACCACGCCATCTGGTTAAGTAGTCAGTAAGTCATTGTTACCCACTGGGGATTACCAAGTTTGGGGAGGCATTGTTTCAGGCTAGGGATTCATCCTAGGACAGCAGTTATCAGCATAACAAAGGCAGTATATAAAAGTATTGAAAAAGGTGCTTAAGGCTAACTGAGCCTCAGTCTCACAAGCTCAATTAAGGGAGCTAATGCAAACCGTTGTTTCCCAAAGCCCATAGTTCCCAGCAAAGAGCATGCTATATGTAAAGCTCTGGGAACAAGTGGGGAGAAATCATGCACAAGGGCAATGGGTCCCAGTGACATTATCACCATGCCAAAATAACAAAGACGAAATGGAGTTTTTACCTGATCCCCTCCTCCAATAAATTAGAAAAAAGACAAGGGAGATGCTACAGCTATAGGACCTTGTCTTAAGCAAACATCATTAGAGAAGGAACTCTTAGCCTGCCCAGTAATTGATGATTGACAAGGCAATCAGGTGCATGCTTATAAAAAGATAAGAAAAAAGGCATTAGAGGCAGAAACAGCCAGGCCAAGGGGACAGTGGGTGACAGAAGAGGCTCTGGCAAGAAAGCTCCTCCCAAGCTGGCAGCTACCACCCAGGCAGGGGGAGCAAGCGGTAGCAAAAAAGTTTGCAGACCTGGAGCTAGCAAATGCTCCTATCAACTAGGCCTGCATGGCAGAAATGGCAATGGCAATGGAGAGCCAGGCCCAGTGCACTGTAGTTAGCCTGCTAGGAAAGGACAGGAGGTGTGGGCAGGAACATCTGCCCAGCTGCCACCCAAGGGCAGGAGGAAGGATTGGGCAAGCAAAAAGCATCAAAAGCGGCCAAGCAGGCAAAAAAAAAAAAAAAAAAAAAAAAAAAAGACAAAGAAAAGAAATGATAATCTGGGGAGGACCCAGATTGTAATTCTCTGCTGAGATTTAAGTAAAATTTAAATTCTTATAATAGCTACTGTTGTTATCTCTAACATAACTCTCTCCAAATCCAGTTTAAGTACTACAGTACTTAAAAGTGTAAGAAATTTGTATGTAAGTATAGTAGAAACATATGCTTAAATGACTGTCTTGCCTCACTGATTAAAGATAGTCTTTGCCCTGCTAGTAAGTCACTGTTTTCAGAACTGTTTGCCAGTTTAAAGTCCATAAATGTGGTCAGCCTGAAAACTCAATTGCAAGATTTAAAGTACTCTGCCTGTGACTTTAAGCACATGGTTAAGGTACAGTCAATTACTAAGTTATGACCCTGATATCATCAAGATTCCTGTAAGGAGAGAGCAATTCAAAGTGATATTACACTCTTCCATACCTAATGCTTTAACAGTATTTACTGATAGATCAGATAAACAGGGAAAAGGTGCAGTCTGGTAGAGACCACATAATTCAATCACCCAATCTAAGTTTACTAGCAGTCGGAGAGCTAAGATTAAAGCTGTGATACTAGCCTTAAAAACTTTTCCTGCTAAGCCCATAAACATAGTAAGTGACTTGGATTACTCAGTTTATCTACTGCAAAATCTTAAAACACATTTAATTAAGTCTAATCTCGAGCCCACAGCTCACTGCCTGGCCCATTATCTTATGGCAATGAACAAGCAGACTTACACGTGTTGACATCACTGCTTGACCAAGACAGACAGAATCAGAAAAACTAGAGAGACAAATAGAAAGCAAAAATGAGTAAGAGAGAAACTAGAGGAGACAGAGATCAGAGAGAGATACACAAAGTGAGACTAAGGAAAGAGATAGTGTAAAAAGAAAAGAGTCAGAGAGAGAAAGAGACAAGGAGGCAAAGAGAAAAAGAGGCACAGAAAGCAAGACAAAGGAGATTAGGAAGCAGAGAAAGAAATATTAAGGAAGTTATAGATATAAAAATGTACCTTTAGTAAGGAAGGTTATAAAACAAAAAGTTAAGACATGTCTAAGTTTGTCAGGGAAAGCCATGAAAAATGTTATAGAAGGTAATTTATGCAAGTAAGTTGTATAAATTTTGTTTTGAAGGTCTAAGCAAGTTTTAAAACATTGATTGTAAAAGAAATTCTGTGTGTAAACATATTGGTTAAAAATTTAAGTTTCATCTAGTTTTTCTATAAACTAGACATTAAGATAAAGCACAACAGATTTTTTTTAAGTACTAACCTGCTCTTTTACAAAGATTATAAAAGATATCTTAGCACAGGCACCACTCCTAGAATTTCTAGTACACCAGCACCAGTCTGGAGACTACGTCATCATCAAAGGATGAAAAGAAGAAAAAACTCAAACCAGCCTAGGAAAAAACCCTGCAGGACCCACAGCTCCAGAGGATGCAGCTTCCTCAGACAACACAAGCCCCAGACAGGTAGTAAGGTGTTACTTTCAGTAATCACATTGAATATATATAGGCTGAATACTGCAGTTAAAAGACATAAAGTTGACAGAATGGATAAAAACAAGACTCAACTATATATTGCCTGCAAGAGACTCATTTCACCTGTACAGACATGCATATACTTAAAGTGAATGAGTGAAAAAAAGAGGCTCATAAAAATAAAAACCAAAACAAAGCAAGAGTAGCTATACTTATAACAGATAAAACAAATTTCAAGTTAAAAATATATAAAAAGAAAAACAGACTATATAATGATAAAAGGATTAATACAAGAGCAGATAACAATCATGAATACCTATGCACCCAACATCTACCAAAGCATCTAAATACATGAAGGACATATTAACCAATCTAAAGGGAGAGATACATTATAATACAAAAATATTAGGGAATTTCAACACCCTTCTTTCTGCGATGGACAGATTATTTACAGAAAATCAAGAAAAAAACATCAGATTTCAACTGCACTCTAGACCAAATGGACCTAACAGACATTTACAGAACATTCCATCCAACAGCTACAGAATACATGTTCTACACTGCACATGGTATTTTTTCCAGGAGAAATCATATGTTAGTCTACCAAAAAAGTCTTAACAAATTCAAGAAACTAAAATTATATCAAGTATCATTTTTCATGAAAATGAAATAAAACTAGAAATCAACAATAGGAGGTGCTCTGAAATGCTACAAATACATAGAAATTAAACAACATGCTTATAAACAACGAATAAGTCCATAAAGAAATTACAAGAAAAATTTTAAAAATTTCTAGAGACAAGTGAAAATGAAAACACAAAATACTAAAACTTATGAAATACAGCAAAAACAGTCATTAGAAGGAGGTCTATAGCAATAGATGTCTACATCAAAAAAGAAGAATGCTCTCAAATGAACCACTAAATGATGGATCTCAAGGATAGAAAAGCAACAATAGACTACACTCACAATTAGGAGAAGAAAAGATACAATAAAGATCAGAGTACAATAGAGACTTAACAACAATACAAAACATCAATAAAATAGAAAGCTGATTTTATGAGAAGATAAACAAAATTGACAAACCATTAGCAAGATTAACCAAGAAAAAAGAGAGAAGAGTCAAATAAATAAAATCAGAGATAAAAAAGGAGGCATTATACCTGATACAACAGAAATACAAAAGATCATAAGAAACCACTATGAACAATTAATTATATGCCAACAATATGAAAAATCTAGGAGAAATGGGTAAGTTCCTAATCACAAAAACCTACCAAGGATGAGGCAGGTTGGGAGAGAACTGAGAGATAAAAGACTACATATTGGGTACAGTATACACTGCTTGGGTGACAGGTACATGAAAATCTCAGAAATCACCACTAAAGAAATCATGCATGTAACCAAAAGTGCCTGTAACCCAAAAACTGTTGAAATATACGCAATTTATTAAACCTGCCAAGATATTAAAAAATGTTAAAAATATGAATCAACAAATAATGAGTAATGAGTTTTGATGCAGTAATAAAGTCTTCCATTAAAAGAAATTCCAGGACATAATGGCTTCTTGCTGAATTCTATAAAATATTTTTAAAGAACTAATACAGTTTTCCACAAACTATTCCCAAATATTGAAAGGGAAATAACTCTTTCAAATATATTATATGAAATCATAATTAAACTGATTCTACAACCATGTAAAGACATAGCAGCAACATAAGTACTTCAGGCCAATATCCCTGATGAACTTAAATGAAGAAATTGTCAACAAAATGCTAGTTTTAAAAAAGGTTTCAGGCTTTTCCTTTTATTCAGGCTATTACTCAATCTTATCCTTTTACCTCCACTTATATTCTAGTCATTGGTTTTATTAAGAGTTACAATTACCTGAGTAAGTACTTGTTCTTCTGTTATGTACTAACCATGCCTCTCACTTTAAATTTTTATGAATCATATATTCTAAACTACAAATGCATAGCTATGTCCTAACAATGACTACTCCCATTTTTATAGTTTGTTTCATTATAAATTCATAGGGTTATTCATTGTTCCATCATAAGTGAAGAATGTGGGAATTCTCAGTGAAAAGACCCAGATGCACAAAAATAACGTTACTGAATCAGTACATTAGTTGGAAACAGCAGCAAAATTGTTTATTTACTTTCCTGTTAATTACATGCTTTACTGTTCTTCAGCAGAAGATACAAAATGTTCATTGTTATCTAAGAATTCTGTTTGCTTCATCCATTAGTTTTCTTTCATTTTCTAATGCTTTGGTATCCTTTCCATGGAATTTTTTCTTTACAACAAAAATAAATACAACAAGTAGAACAAGTGTTGGAAACACCAGGGCTGCTGTCAAGTTGAAGTGGACGCTTCTGTGAAAAGAGAATAAGGAAAATATATTATTATTTTAAATTGTGTAAAATATCTTACATTTTTTTCTCCCCAGTATGCAGATCTTAAAATAATAATAATAAAAAAGAAGTCATACATAGAAATATTCACATGCAATTCTATTTATCCTTTTCATTGGAGCATAAGAAGTTTTCCTATTTTTTAAAAAACATGAAGCTACAGAAACTAGGCTCCAGCAGTCTCTAGCCTTCCTGTGGGTGGGAAGAAAATACTGTATACAACCCCAGACCCCTCAAGCCATCTCATTCTACCTAAAGGCAGGAGAGAGAAACTGAGAAACAAGTTTGAAGTTCACAATCCAGAAGTACAGGCTCACTAAAAGATTGAGACCTTCTCATAGAAGTATAGAATGCTACTTTTCTCCAGAACCTTACACCACATTAATAAACACTTACATACAGCAGTTCCTTTTACTCAATACATTTTATCTGGCTGTCAAGAAAAAATTGCAAGACTCATACTAACAGGCCATAAACACCGTCTGAAAAGAATAAGACTTAAAACCAGAACCAGGTATATAAGGGATGTTAGAATTATCAAAATGAAAATTTAAAACAACTATTATTAATTTGCTAATGGATCTAAGGAATAATGTAGGCAGCATGGAAGAACAGATGAGCAATGTAAGCGGGGAGATAAAAATTCTAAGAACTAAAAAAAAAAAAAACACTAAAGAATAAATAATGATGTAATAGATAAGACAGATAACTTACTTTTTAAATTATTAGATAGAACACAGCTGAGGAAACAATCTCTAAATTTAAGTATATCCCAATACAAAGCTTCAAAATTAAAAAGCAAAGTAAAATAAGACCAGAATGGGGAAAGAAACAGAATAGCCAAGAACTTTGTGATGACTACGTGTGTATAATGGGAATACTTTAAGGAAAGAAAGAAAAGAACAAAAGAAATATTTGAAATAATAAGCACTGAAAATTTTTCTTGAATAAATGTCAGACACTAAACTACAGACCCAGCAAGCTCAGAAAACATCAAGAAGGATAAATGCCAGAAAAACTATGCATAGGTTTATTATTTTCAGACTGTAGAAAAGCAAAGATGAAGAAAATGTCCTGTAAGAAGCCAGAATAAAACAAAACAAAACAAAACAAAACCTTATGTATAAGAGGGGCAAAAGATTACATCAGACTTCTCTTCAGAAACCATGCACTCAAGAAGAGAGTGGAGTGAAATATTTAAAGTGTTAAGAGAAAAACACCTCCAACTTAAAATTCTGTATTCTGTGCAATTATCTTTCAAAAGTGAAGTAGAAATAAAGGCATTGTCACACAAACAGAAACTGAGGGACTGTTTTGCCAGTATACCTGTCTTTCAAGAAATGTTAAAAGAAGTTTGTTAGAGAGAAGAAAAAGGACATAGGTCAGAAACTTGGATGTACATAAAGAAGAAGGAATATCAGAGAAGAAATCAGTTAAGGTCAAATAAAAACATTTTTATCTAAATTGATTTGATAGAAAACAATTTGTTCAAAATAACAATGGCAACAATGTGTTTAATAGTATTTAATTTACATGCTTATTTATACGTTTATGTATGCTTACAGATAACTGGAGTGAACGACATCAATGACACAATGGATAGGAAGGAAGAATTAGGGTTATTTTGGTATTATTAGGTACTCTTATTATCTGTGAAGTTATAAAGTGTTATTTAAATGTAAATTAGATTTGTTCTAAATGTGTATTGCAAACTCTAAGAAAACACTGAATGTCTTAATTAAAATTACACAACTAATAAACTAAGAAATAAGAGAAAATAAAATTATATAAAACACTCAATTAAAATACAACAAGACAAAAAGTGGAAGACAAAAGTAGGATCAAAGAACAAGGGCAGCAAATAGAAAATAGTGAAAAAATATGGTTAATAGTCATTCAATTACATTAGTAATCACTTTTAATGTCAATGATCGAAATGCATCAATTAAAAGAACAATACTAGCAGGGCATAGTGGTTGATGTCTGTAATCCAAGAACTTTGGGAGGCCAAGGAAGGAAGACTGTATGAGGCCAGGAATTTGAGACCAGACTGGGCAACAAACTCAGACCCCATCCCTACAATAATTCAAGTATTAGGCATGGTGATGCACGCCTGAGGTCCCAGCTGCATGGGAGGCTGAGGCAAGAGGATTCTTTGTGCCCAGCAGGTTGAGGCTGCAATAAGCCATGTTCAAGCCAGTGCTCTCCAGCCAGGGTGGCAGAGTGAGACGCTGTCTCAAAAAATTAATAATAAGATTATTGGCAGATTACAACAAAGAACCAAACTATATAGTTCATAAAAAATTCACTTTAATTATGAGGACATATAGATTAAAAATAATTAGATTGAGGAATTAATGCTAATGTTAATCAAAAGAAACTGGAGGTTACTATATTAATTTAAAACAGAGCAGATTTCAAAGCAAGAAAATTGATTAAGGATTTAAAAAAAGGCCTTACATAATAACAAGGGATCCATTCTCTTATTGTCCCTTAAAAAACATAACAATTCTTAATACGGAAGACTGTAAGAATAGAGTGTCAAAATATGTTAGGAAAAAATAATAAAACTACAAAGAGAAATGAAGTAAGTCCTCACTTAACATCGTCAACAGGTTTTTGGAAATGAGTAAATTTAAGTGAAATTTGATATTGTATGATGAAACCAATTTTACTACTGATAATTAGTATAAACAAGAGTAAAGTTTCTATGGCATACAGTATATTGTTTTGCTTAATGTCAGTTTCTAGGAACCTATCAACAATGTTAGGCAGAGATTTAGTGTAGATGAATCCACAATTATGTTTGGAGACTTCAAAATGCCTCTATCAGAAATGGACAGATCTAGCAGGCAAAAATCAGTAAGGACATAGTTTAACTCAATGACACTATCAATCAACAGCATGTAATGAACATCTGTAGACTCCTCCATCAAACTGCAACAGACTATACAATCTTCCCAAGCTCATATATATTATTCATCAAGATAGACCACATTCTGGGCTATAAAACATATCTTACAAAATTTAAAAGAATAGAAATCATACAATGTCTTTTCTCAGAACACAATGGAATTAAACTAGAAATAAATAACAGAAAGATAACTGGAAAATCTCAATATATGTGAAGATTCAGCAATATACTTTTAAGAAACATAGGAGGCAAGGTGAAATCTTATGAAAAATTTAAAAATAATTTGAACAACGTGAAAATAAAATTATAATATTAAAAGCTATGGGATGCCACAAAAGCAGGCTTAGAGAAAAATTTATAGCATTAATGCATATATTTAAAATGAAGAAATATCTGAAATCTATGACCTAATCTTTTACCTTAACAACATAGCAAAAGAAAAGTAAGTTAAATTCCAAGTAAGAAGAAGAAAAGAAATAATAAAAAGTAGAGCACATATCAGTGAAATTTAAAACAGGACATGAACAGAGAAAATCAACAAAAACTAAAGCTATAAAAAGTTGTAAAATTGATGAGCCCCTTACCAGGCTGAGATAAAAAGGTAAACACATCTTACTAATATGAGAATTAAAAGACGGAACATCACTGTAGATCCCATTGACCTCAAAAGGATAAAAAAAGGAATAGCATGAACAGCACTATGCCCCAATTTTAATAACCTGAATGAAATGGACCAATTCCTTGACAGATAAATCTTTGTAAATTCACACAAGAAGAAATAGATCATCCAAATAGGCCTATGTATGTTAAAGAAATGAATTAATAATTAATAAACCTTCTAAAATGGAAGTCACCAAACCAAGATCGGCTCATGGGTGAGTCCTATCAAAAACTCATGTAAGAATTTATACCAATTCAATGTAATCTTCTTCAGAGGATAGAGGCAGCAGGAATACTTCCTGTCTCACTCCATGAGGTCAGCATTATTCTAATACCCAAAGCAGACAAACTTATTACAAAAGAAAACTATACACCAATATCCCTGATGAATGTTGAAAAATTCCTCAACAAAATACTAGTAAACTGAATTCAACAGAAAAAAAAAAAAAAAAAAAAAAAAAAAGAAAGCTACAGAGCAATACATCTACAAATATAGGAAAATTCTCAAAAATAGCTAATTGAATCCAACATTGTATAAAAAATTATATGCAACAACAAAGTGAAATGTACCACAGGTTTACAAGACTGTTTCAACATTCAAAACCAAATTATATAATTCCTTATATTAGCAGACTAAAGAAGAAAAAAATCACATGATCACATCAGAAAATGCAGAAATGCATTTGACAAAAGCAAACACACTTTCATGACTAAACTCTCATTAAATTAGGAATAGAGAGCTTTATCAACCTGATTAAAAAAAAAATCTCCTGAAATGCTACACTTATCATACTTAACAGTAAAGATCTCAAAGTTTTTCTGCCAAGGTCAGGAACAAGGCAAGGATGTTGCCTCCCACCACTGATTTTCAACATGGTACCAAAAATGCTAGCTAATGCAATAATAAAAAAAAAAAAAAATGAAAAGGGCATGAAATGTATACAGGTTGAGAGGAATATAGAGGTCGAAATGTATTCTGCTACCAAAATCCTAGCTAATGTGATTTTTAAAAAAATGAAAAGGGAATCAAACGAATACAGGTTGAAAGGAAGAAATAAAACTATCTTTGTTTACATATATGTAGAAACTCGCAATAATAGAAAACTCCTGAAACTAATAAACGATTATAGTAAGGATGCAGGATACAAGATAAAATGAAAAGTTTTCCTATATGTCATCAATGAATAAGAGGAATTTGAAATTAAAAACACATTATCATTTACATTGGCACTCCTGAATATGAAACATTAGATAAAAGTTTAATAATATATATATAAAAGCTGCATGCAGAACACTATAGAACTCTGATTAAATAAATCAAAGAACTAAAAAGTGAAGTGATATTACATGTTCATGTACAGTATAGAAAAACTCAATATTGTCAAGA